ATATTACATCTATTGACATTTAATCTGGAGTTAGGCCAACTGAAAAACAATGAAATCAAAACAGCCCCGCATTAAAATACTTTCCATTTTTCAAATTAACAAAAATAAATGTAGGAGTTTGTCATACATTATCGTAAAATAAATATAGAACTAAGGTGGAGGCAATCCCTTATTTGTGGGAGGGGCAAAAAACGCTACCGAAAAATAAAAATTCTCTGATGTAAAAAGTGATTCACGAGAAAAATTCCTGTGTTTTGGCAAATTCCAGTGGGCACCCGTATTGCTCCTCTATAGAAACAGCGGGGTGATGTCAGGGAGAGAAAGTTTACAGAAACAGTCCAAGCACCTGAGTAAACCAATTCATCACACGGTACCATCGGAAGCCTTCGTCAAACATTGTCACACCATTACTACAGACCTCATTTAAAATAAAAATTCTTAAAATTAGCCCAATTAAATTTTTTTTCAAGTCTTTATAGGTGCACCAATAAGCTTTTGATTTTCAATCTGTCAGAAACAGTCGACGTTTCAAGCACGGGAGTCCTGTACTTCCTAAGAATCTTTCATTTACTAGGTAACAAACAAGTCCATTGAAAAATACTTTTTCAAACTGATGAATGTCTGGACATGTAAGAATTTGACAAAAATAAATGAGTTTAATGAGTTTATAGATCGTCTGGATTAAAAGTGATGTTTTCTTGTACAGAGCCAGGAAATCGGGGAACTAAGTTATAATCATTATTCAGAGTCTTGACAGGATGCTTCGGTTACTGTGTACATGGATTTATATAAAACATAGGGCATCTAAAAACATTTTCAAAAGAATTTATATACAGACTTTATAACTGTGTTATCCCCCACAAATTTCAGACAGAGATAAAAAAAAATCTTGCTACACGCAAGGAAATATCAGAATATTATTTTAGTCAACCCTACCTTCATGAACTATTGTTAAAGAATTAATTCACTGGGACAATATGTGACCATAACAGATTTTTTTCCATATATTTAATTTTTTTTTTTTTTTTTGTAAATGACCTCAAAAATTATTATCTTAACAATGATTTTCTGGCTACCTATAATGACATACTCGCTTTGATCCAAATATAAAACTAACACATCTGTTTATATGGATTAGTTTTATATCACCACCATTTAATAACTTATGTCAATCTTTCTCCATAGGTAATTTTGAAGCAATATTTGTTGTTCTGAACTTGTCCATACTAATGAAATTACCTTTTTAATTCCTTTGTTATCATATGAATTAATCTATCAAGCATATTTTGGTTGTTTAGTTATCTTTGTCTAACATTTTGAACCAAGGATTAATCAAAAAAATTGTTTATAATTGATTATCCTACTTGGCATGGTTAAGGAAACACATGTTACTTTAAATGACAAAAGCAAAGGCTAATTTTGATATTTTTTTTTAAACAAAAAAAAAATACATTGAAAACCCTTCTCTCCCCTTTATCAGGTATAAATGCAAAAATAAAAATTCAATTGCTAGAAATTAGATTTTCATAGCAAAGACATTCCCAAAAACAGGACAATAAAGGCCTCTAATTAGCTTTTCTCCTGCACATGGCTGTAATCTCTGTAAATAGTAACACAAAAGTTTGTCAACACTGACATAGATTGTGTCTGGTCCAACTGGACAAACACAGGAATTATCTCCCCTCTCTGGAAATCAGTGACGGCCATTTTAGAAAACCTTGGTCTATGAGGACCCTACTCTGAGCCTTTGAAGTCCTGTAGATAATTCAGTTTTTGTTGATTTCTTTCAGTGTTTAGTCGACATAAGTAAACAGATGGCTTGATTTATTTTCAACTTATCATTTAACCAGGATGTTTAAGTTTGATAGCTTGAAATTGGGTGTTGAATTTCACGGACCATTATTACCTGTCCATTAAGAATTTTTCCTTCCTCAGATTCTAGAAATTTTTAATTTCACTGGCATACAAATAATTATAAATCATTAGTATCCCATCAATTATAGACTATAAATAAAACATTCTAATTTTTTTTAAAACAGTTTTGTAACACAGAGAGAACTCAAATAATATAATCTTTAACATGTTCAAGGAAAAAAACTGTTCTCTTTTTGACTGAAAATTAAGGAGGCTGGGGGTCAACAAATAAACAATCAGATATAACTTAAAATTTTTAGATATATCTTTAACTGTCAAACACCATTTGGCAAAGAAAAATTTCACATATTTTTGTTTTAAATTTTGATCATTTTAAAAAAAATTTGTATATCTTTATATAGAGCCAGAGCTCCTCTTCTAAAGGAGATCAATTATTGTCCGAAAATGGCCACAACCACCTAACCCTCTTAAGCAAAATACAGTCAAACCTGATTATCTTAAATGGGACCAAGATTAACATTCAAGATATCCAGGGAATCAAGATAAAGAGGGTAAAAAAAAACAAATTAGGAGAAATTAGGACTGGCACCTCAATTTGACATTAACACTGGTATTTCAAGATATGAGGGTTTGAGAAAGTGGAGCTCAACTGTACTGCTTATATTACTGCATCTATTTACTCTAATGAGAACAATAGTTTTATAACTGTCAATTAATTACCAATATTAACAATTCAGATTGGCTCATATCTTATCTCTTCAAAGTTTTTTACAAACAAGAAATGAATGCACACAAGAAAAATACCATGTCAGATGGTCAGGGCAATATATGATCCTAACTAGTTAATTAACAATTCATACCCACAATATCAACCCAATAAACTTCAACAGTAACTAGCCTGTGAATCAATTTATAAGAAATCAAGAGAAAGCTCTAATAAAATTTCTTTCCCAATATGTACATAATTAATAACAATGCATTGTTTAGTTTTCTATGGTAACTACTTATGACCTTTATTTCTGAACATGGTCTATATAAGGTGTCCATGGCAACAGCTGTCAAATTGTTTCCCCGAGAGAGAGTGCAACACATTTCCTTCTCTGTCGAAAATCATAAGTTTTCCTTTTCTATAATTGATTTCGAGAGAAGAAGGGATTAATTGCGTGACAAACATCGCCCCTTGCCGGTAGCAGCTGAAGGATAAAGAAGTCGTGCTTATGTAATATTCATGGACTCTGGCGGAAAAAGAAAAGAAGAAAAACGCGTAAACAGGAGAAGCCAATTTATCAGGTGTCATGATGGACTTATCACTGATAAAGAGTCTTTATAAGAATGGTGCTAATTCCTCAGTTGTTTCTGTTGAAATTTTAATTACAGAAATCTCATTAAATAACTGAATTGACTCTATGGTCTCTTAACACATATTTAGTACCTTACAAGAAATTTAACTTAATGTGAGCAATGAGCACACAAATTGATACCCCCTGCTCCGATACAGTATGAGGACTGTAATTGACATTAAACTCTGTTCTTTGGTATGGGAATCTCAAATTATGTGTCCTAGCTATGAAAAGTTCAATTGAAGCTGCACAATGGTACCTTGAAGTAAAGATTCTGGGAAAGTCTTTAAAGTTTATTCAGTGGTGTATTGCAGTGAAGTCAATGATAAAAGATCAGTACCAACAATATTACAGAGAAAATGACTGTGTGTGTCCAAGTTTGCTTTGGAAAACTCCAAAAATGTGTCTCATCAAATTGTAAAATTAGGAGGTGCACAATTGCACTCTGTGAAAAATATACTATGAGAGTCTCATTCAATTTTATTCAGTTGTATAGGAGAAATTGAACATAAGAGATGGACATAAGGTTTTATGGGAATGGGAGGACAGACAGAGAGACAGACATTCTGATCACTATTTACCACTGCTTGAGAAGATGAACACTTGAGAAGAAGGGGTGCCTTAAAGTTATAAAATTAAATTATGGGCATTGATAAAAAAAAGCAACTTAATTAATCTCAGAATTTTATTTTAAAAAAAAGTAACAGATTAACATTTAAATTTTTTAACAAAATGTTTAGCAATAAAATATGACTGATTATAAGTAATTTCTTGACCACAACACTTTACATTTCGTTATTTACTTTTCTTTTTTATTTAATTTATATGTTGCTATGAAGAGAGAGTTTATCCTTTGACCTACATGTATGTTTAAACATGACCACCCATTTATAAGGTTGTAACAATAACAGTAATGCTCTATAGTATTTGCTGGAATTATACTCCCATATTTAGTTACTGAATAATTGATCACGGGATAGGTGAATATTTATAGTATGTCCAATATCTATCTACATTTATTGCCTAACAATAAACAAATATGGGTGTCTATGACTGAATCACCTTTTTACATCGGCACTGATATTATAATTTATATGCACCTGCCACCTGACTTTTAAAAAATATTAAAAGTAACAATTTTGTCATCTGCATCTGTTGCAATTTTCTGTCAATTTAGAAATCAGATTGATTTATCACATTTTGACAGTTTATAAATAAATCAATATGGACATTCAACATAAAGTTGCGAAAGAGAGGGAGGGATTAATCTTTGTTTCAATATTTTTTGCCAATTAAGGAAACTTTATCACAATATATTTCAATTATTTTAAGTTAAAATTCCTTAGATAAAAGAAGCAATAAACAAAGTTCATAAACTATTTGACCCATTTTGTATGATAAAAAAATTACAATTTAATATTCATCCAAGTTAACTATGAGTTTAGACATTTTTTCTTTTAAAATTATATATTTTTGGTTCAATTAGAAATTATAAAAAGTTTAAAACCTATCAAATTAAAGAAATTTAAACTTCTCTTACATCCCATTTCTTTTCATAAAGTCGTAAAAAAAAATGTATTTTAAACAATTATATAACAGTCAGACTTAAAAAAAAAACTTATTGGCCCCCTTCCCCCATATTTAAAAAAAATGCTAACGTTACCTGTCTATCATTTTTCAGTACATATATACATGTACCTATAACTTCGATCCCTATGTCAGACATAAACATCCCCATTTTCTGACAAAAGAAACACAAGTCATAAACTATACACCAAAACAAACCTTGTATGGAACTATTTGTTGATTGTGGATTCGAACCCGCGATCAGTGAAATGAACACAAGCACCACACTCAGCACCGCTGCACCGTTATCCATTCTCGTCATCAATCAAAACCCACCAAAACGAGAAAAAGCTATTAATTTTCACATTTTAACACTGTAATTAAAGTTTTCCAATACACTTTTCACTTTGTTTAAATGATGTTTAAAACTTTCAAAGTTTTTTTTCAACAGTTTTCGCTTTAAATTTTCGCGTGTGTGAACCTGTTCATGCCTCGCTGTAAAATCAATGTGCATCCTTGTCGCCAGACAGGGACATCAAAACTCTCTCTTTCTCAGTTCATCCCATTGCATAGAAGAAGTCTGCGTCAAAGAAAAGGCACATCCCATTTAAAGTTCGGCAACAGTGGCATGTCTGTAGTCCACACGCTTTCTGCCGAGTCCGTTGTTTACATGCGCTGGCAAGGATGTAAATGAGACTCCGCGTTCTGAAAACCTGCAAAGGGGAGTAACTCTCTCTCTCTCTCTCTCTCTCTCTCTCTCTCTCTCGTTGATCGAATTTCAGCGTCGGAACCTATAGGTTTTATTTCTGTTACCCCCGTGCATTCAGTGATTGAATTTTTTTTATCTTAATTCCTCTAACAATTTAGAAGATAAATTACTACCTTTAGGAGTGAGCTTTTTTTTTTCAAGAAAGGACGGGAAAATAAACATGTTCAAATTGTTTTTATGCTAACCCTAATGTTATCGAATTTCATGATTTGTTTTAAGACACTGAAGTCATTTTTGGACTTGCAAAATTTTATTGTCAGTAGTAAATTAATAATAACAATTAAAATTACTGTGTAACATATTTATAAGATCTATAAATTTATTTTATACTAGGCCACTTCTACTACTAGCGTTAGTGTCACTCATTCATGCATTCATCATATGTTCATGCTTCTATGTTATAATTTTGATATTTACAGCTCATTAGGGTCTTTATCATTAAAACAGAAATGAAAACTTGAAACTCGTTTGTTATAAATGGAAATATTTTTATAATGATAAATTTGTGCTTTGTGTGTTTTTCGTCTGTCTAAATATGTCATAAGAATCGCTGAAATTAGCATATGTCTTTTTAAAAATCTACATCTTTTTATGAACAGCTGTTATAGGAATATGATATTTTTAAGAAACGTTAAGTATTTTAAATATTTTTTAAAATATTTTTCAAATCTTTACTTTGATGAGTTTATTGAAATGCACAATACACAAAAACATCGTCCTGAAATCAAGCGCCTATGAAAATTATATCACACACTAACAGCTAGGTACATAACAGAACAATAATGTAAACGTACGAGCATTCCTTTTTAATCCGTCTTTTATTTAAAAAAAACTGCTATTACTTAATTTAATTCATCTGTATTTTCCTCCAAAATTTTATGCTTTCTTTTTTCTAGAATTCTGAGAAATATGAAGGCAAAGTTTCTTAAATTACTGGTATTTCAAAAAGATGTAATTCTTTATAACAAACTTTTTTATTTGCATGAGGTGTGACTACAACATTTCGTTCACACGACATACCATCTCAGTGAGTATATATATCTCGTTCACAGGACATGTAATTAGGATGCACTAATCTGTCCAAAGAATGTTGGATAGGGTTACTGTTAGTGAAGTTGATTTCCTTATGTAGATTAGGGTGTAAAGGTAAAAGGTATGCGCCAGGAATCTAAATTGGGGTGAATTTCCATAGAAAAATCAATAAACTTAAAGAAATTTACAAAATGATGTAAGATTTGACTTTCAAGTGCATTTTTTGTCAGAACAAGTTATGCATGTACGATTTTCTTCAATTTTTAAAGGGAAAGAGAGTACATGTACGTTTAGATCCAATATACATCTCATTCTGTCGGTCTAAATTGATACCGGTATGTACGAGACAGTACAAATCAATTTTTTAGCACACATCTTTCAAATTTTATGACCAAGGATAACATTTTGCAAATAAGGGTCAAACTCTAAGGTCAAGATCAAGAGTTGGTACTCAATGAAAGAGCTTGTCATAAGAATTAACAAGAATTAAGACATTACTAAAATTTAGATTTGGCTTTTATTTTATATATAACTTTTGGTGTTAGTGTTTCAACTTCATAGTGTATATCTTGTGAGAAGACTTTTCCATCTAAACATGTTTTACATATTGACCTTGAAGTCGGAGCTTGGCCGTCTTTTAAAAAAAAAAATTAACCTTGGTCATAAATTTTGAACAGTTTGAGTTAGTAGTTTCATTTTTCACGACCCTATTTTTATGCCCCCCTCCCCCGAAATCGAAGATTCAGATGATTACTAGTAGTATTTGCCCTGTCCATTCGTTTGTCTGTATGTTTGTTTGTCCGCAAAAACTTAAACCTTGCCCATAACTTTTGAATGGGTGGGGATTTGGCTTTCATATTTCACAGGTATATTCCTTGAGACAAGATCTTTCTTCGGGCTCTACCAAATTTGACTTCTTGACCTTGAAGTTTGACCCACTTTTGCAAAAAATTTAAACTTTAACCTACTGTAAATCACTTTTTATAATAATATTCCTTATCATTATTTAGAGGAACACCCACAACTCGTGAAAATTACATCTCGTTAATAAAGAGTTAATGACTATCTCGCGAGAAATAAAATGTCGCCAAAATTTAGTGATCTACAGTATATGTGTTTTTTGAACAGTTGGAGCTAAGGATTTCATACTTTATATTGTTATTCATTGTGACAAGACCTTTCAATAGGTTTAAATATTTTAAACCTTGACCTAAGAGTTTGGCTAATTTTTTGAAATCTTTATCCTTGGCCATAGTTTTTGAACAGTTAGTACTAGGGCTTTCATATTTCATTGATGTATTCCTTATGATTAGATACTAACAACTTTGACCCCTTGACCTTGACTTTGGATTTTTATTTGCATTGGAAAAGCTGAAATGTTCGTCATACACTGTAAACTGCCATACGGGGGCATCAATGTTTCACAAACACATCTTGTATGAGAAGACAATCCCTCTGGTACCAAAATTTAGTCCCTTTGACCTTGTCTTTGGGGCATACTTTGACCTACTTTTGACAAAATAAAACCTTGGAAATCACTTTTCAATGGCTTTCATATTCAGTGCAGATTTTCCCTTGAGTACCAACAACTTTGACCTTTGATCTTGAAGTTTTATGTACTTTTTACGTCACCTGAGCTGAAAGATCAAGTGAGCTTTTCTGATCATCCATTGTCCGGCGTGTGTCCGTTTGTCTGTTTTTAAACTTTTCACATTTTCAACTTCTTTTCCAGAATCACTGGACCAATTTTAACCAAACTTGGTACAAAACATCCTTGGGTTAAGGGGGGGGGGGTTAAATTGTTAAAAATGAAGAGTCAAGTTCCCTTACAAGAGGAGATATTCAAGAAAAGATAAAAATAGATAAAAATCTTCTTTTCAGGAAGCACCCTGGGATATTTCAAAACATTAAATAAATGCTTCTTTTTTTTTCATTCAAATTGAAACAAAATTGTTTTCAAAAAACAAAAGAAACTTTTTTCTCTAGATTTGTATTGTTTCCAGAGGCATTTGATTACTATATTTCATCTTTGTTTAACCTCAAGGACTCTGTGAAACCGTACAGAAACCTTTTGTAACAGATTTTGCATGCATGATGTGGATTCTAAGTTGTTAAAATCATGACCCCAGGGTATGGCGGGACCACAATAAAGGAATCCAGTTTAAAATTGGATATATATATTGAAATATATAGGAAAAATCTCTTTTCAAGAACCAGACCAGAAAAACTTAATTTAACGTGGAAGCATCCTTTGGTAGTTTAGATTATAAATTGTTAAAATCATGAACCCAAGGGGTAGGACGGGGCCACAATGGAACCCATTTTTTACATTGAAATGTGTAGGGAAAATCTTTTGGCACTCATTAAAAAGTTATGGGCAAGAACAAAGTTTTTGCAAACAGCAGATAGACAGACGAACGGCTAGAGTAAGACAGATAGACCGGGCAAAAACTATAAACCCCAGAATCTTCGATTGCGGGGGCATATGTCTGCTCTTTTGTGATATTGTGACGTAATAGATGTTTGACGTTTAGTTGACGTCACAATCATCACCATAAACAAAGAAACTAAGCAGAAAGCAGATCAGTTTGTGAATATTACAGGTATGCAATATTTGTTTAATTTGGTTAATTTGACGCGTTAGATTTCTGAGTAAAATTTATAGTGATATGTAATACAGTCAAACCTGTTTTAAGAGGCCACTCGTGGGAGAATGACAAATTGGCCACTTAAGACAGGTGGCCACTTATTCCAGGTTTCAAACCAATGAATAAAAAAAAAATGAGACCACGGTTGTGTATTTATTTTCACACGTATCCATATCCAATTTAACACATTTAAAAACTTGGGAAATTTTTAAAAGTCAAATGAAATCCCCTTTACATTTCATTTTACATGAATTTCTGAAAGAAATCTGTTATTGTTTTTTTTTGTGTGTATTGGTAAATTAATTTTACAGCCATAGAATTTGTATACATCACAGGAAATCAAAAAATGTTCTAACTTAGCATTTCCCTGATGCTGTGTTAAGCTTTTTTTTTTTTTTAGTTTTTCTAGATATATATTTATTTATATAACATAAAAGGTTAAATGTGAGAAATTGATTAGGCGAAATTGTAGTAGCCTATATATTGAGTTAAATATATTATGAAAATATTCAACAACTTACTTTGTATATTATAAAAATCTTTTAACAATAAATCATTTAATCATATTAATTAAATCCTTAAATCCTGATAGAATTCAAATTACACCTGCAATTATTGGTCATTAACTCATTATCAGCTGTTCATGTTTGGCTTCGTATGAGGATACGAGGTACGTGTCTGAGTCATGTGACAAAACAGTCAAAATGGCCGCTGAAAACAGGCATGTTGAACGAACGGGACCTAAAAACACTGGCCACTGGCCGCGTTAGACAGGTGGCCGCTTAAATGAGTTAAAATATAGTGAAAAAATGAACGGGCGGGATTGAAACTGGCCGCTCATGAGGAGTGGCCGCTGATTAAGGGTGGCCGTAACAGCAGGTGCGACTGTACATTACTTTATAATTTCTTTTATAGAATTTAGCAACATTTATCATGGACTACAGTGAAATACTTGATTTCAGTGACAAGGGGGTAAGCGTAAACCTTTTAGTTTCTTTGTCAGTGATAATTAAATGCATATAGAATTTGATAGATGGAATTTTTTGGTCACTTTGTCCAATTCTTTCATATATATCTTTTTTAATTTTGTGAATATCTAAAGAAATGTTTTTATGCTTTAATTATTTTTGTTTATACTTGATAGTCTTATTTGTTTTAATTCTAGGAGACCAAACTGGAGATTTTAAAGTTTAACTATAATTGGTATGAAGAGGTAGAAAGGCAAGAGAGATTGGAGGTACTTAATATCTTGTATTCTTGACAATTTCTGTTCATTTTTTTTTCCTTTACTATTCAATAGTATAATATTGTTTATCATATATTATGAAATACTTACATGTAATTAAATATAGGCACTATTCGTGTGCATCAAGTCTTCTCCCATGCAGAATCCTCGTTTGTAATTTACATGTATTTATTTTATAAGGCAATGGAGATACAGGAAAAAGAAAGAAAGAAGACTGTGAAAACTTTAATGCGAAAAGTTCACCAAGAAATGATTGTAAGTATAAAAATAAAAAAAAAAAAAAAAGAAATACAATGATGATAATTACATATGATGTCTCAACCATGGGTGAAATATATCAATTGTCAAGGAGTTTTATGCATAATTTATAAATATTGAAAATATGTCAATGATACAGTGGAATGAGAAGGCCCCCACCCCTATTTTATTTTAATTCGCCCAATCAATCCTTGATTCAACTGAATTATTAATTGTTTAACTTTGTAGTGAATTATATGCAAATTTTATACCAAAATATGTAATGAATATATTAATTAAATAGGACGTGATATCCAAAAAGTCAAAAGAGATGGACAAAATAAGATCCGATGTGACCAGAAAGAGGGAGGAAATGGCAATAGTACACAGAGAACTAAAGGTTCGTAGTACTCACTAATTAATATACATTAATTAAACAGTTACATGAAGCAAGTTATCTATAATGAAACCAAAATATAACCAATACATACTTATCATAGGACACCATAACCAGAAAATCCAGTGAGATGCGAAAATTACAGGATGATATAATGCGGAAAAGGGAGATAATGGGAGATATCCACAGAGAGCTAATGGTAAATTACTCCTTAATACATTTACATTTTATAACCAGTGAAAAAAATACATTAAATTTGAAATGTAATGAATGTATACTTATTCCAGAACGTTATGAAACGAAAGTCAAGCGAGATGAGCAAACTTCATGCTGCCATGGTGCAGAAAAGTGAAATGATGAAGGAAATCCATAAAGAACTGATGGTATGTGGTACTCACTAATTTGTGTGCATTTTAAGAAAACTTTACATGAATTAAAATTATCTAGTACTTTAAAATGTATTGATTATATATACGTATCCTAGGTCACCATAATCGGAAAGTCAAGTTTGTTTTTTTTTTTTTTTAATGAAGCTGATATATACTTATCCTAGGACACTACAGACAGAAAATCGAGCGAGAAGGAGAAAATTCATGCCGCCATGATTCGTAAAAGGGAGATAATGAAGACAGTTCATAGAGAACTTGAGGTGTGTAAAATTCATTAATTAAGATGATAAAATTATCAATATGACCCCATGGATTTCATTTGATACTGGCATAAACCAATCATTGTCGCTGAAAAAATTATCCTTTATAGTTTAATTTACTTTTTTAAGGTGGAAGCTCAAAGAAAGAAAACTGTGCGTGGTATTAGAAGCAAAATTCTGCAGGAATGTATGGTGAGTTAGTAATACAACTTTTTAGTTATAACTGATGATTCCAATAATGTATAATGGATTTAAAATTGCTAATCTATGCAATTATATTTCTACATGTCAAATTAAAACGATTTGATGTTCAACTTGAGTGTAATACCACTTTGATTAATCCATTTCACATAGTGAGAGCTGAAATATAAATAGCTTAACATTTTAAGATTTTTAATTTGATTATTTAAGACAATTAATAAAAATGTTTCAAACAGACTTCCACTTCTCTTTTAAAACTTTCTAAGCATTTATTCTTTACATAATAGGAAACAGTTGCCAAAAAGACAAATTATATGGCCCTCATTCGTGCAGATATTGACAGAAAAATAGAAATGATGGAGGCACTTCACAAAGAGCTTGTGGTAGTTACCTGAACATAAAGTACATAAAAAGATTTTTATTTCTGTGATATACACCTTAATTGCTTTTGAATTTTTGACTTGCAAGAACATTCTTAAAAGAATTGTTGAATTCGTTATAATGATTTATTTTTTATTGGTCCTAAGTCTTCTGATAGAAGAATTGGTAATCTTAAACAGAAGTCTAAAGAAAATCAAAATAATATAAAAAAAATATTTGAGAAATTGAAAGTTAGTTTTATAATTTCTTACAAACTTTTTTGAATGAGCTTAATTCCTACGTCTTAACTTGTCATATTTTATTTTATTTGAAAGAAATCCAATTTAGAGTGCAGAGCAGACGATGATGATGATGATGGTGACGAAATGTTTGTGCCGCGGAAACTTTTCCTTTTCAAAGTGGATACTTTCAAGGTCAGTCTAAAGTAAAAAAAAAAAAAAGAAAAAAAAACATTTGATTTAATTTTTACGTTCCCTCAGAGAGACACAAATATACTTCAGGGTTTCAAGCAATAACTTCATTTCGATCTTTCAGAATGATATGCCAAATCAAACGATGTCCATTCCGAAGCCGCCTCCGTGCATGCGAAGTTTTGAGGACAAACATGCACATGGTACAGAAAAGGTATAGTATAATGAGATTGATAAAAGTATTAAAATTCTGTATAAAACGTTTCTATTTATACATGTAGCTGTTTTTTAAATACATTTCAAATATATTTGTACAAACATAGATTATTTTTTCTTCTGCAGGAATTCCCAACAAAGAAGAGATCTATGAGAACTCGTGTGTTGAAGTTTTTTGGAGTGAAATGAATTTGTCTTAGAAAAATGAATCTGAGAAATTGTTCATATTTTTTGTTTATTTTTTGGAGTCATCATTTGATTTTGTATTAAATATGTATATATTTTATTGAAATAGATGCTATTGGAAAGTTTTATTTGTCTTTCTGTTTTATTGTAATACTTTACAAATATTGGTGGTTTTTAAGTCAAAACATCTTTTAGACACCCGATGAGTACAATATTTACGGAGTCCGAAGAGCGATGTGAATGTTGTTCTTCGAACGTAGCTAAATCATCGTATTGACCAAAAATAAGCAATAATTGTTTTATTATATGATTCAATGAATAAGTTTTTATATTTGATATTTCTTTGTCCGAGATAAAACTACAAACTGTAAAAAACATTCGATTTCTAGAAAATGCTTCTGAGGTTTACAAAATCCTTGGTAGGGCGGCTCCACGAAGATACACAGAAGTAGAGGCTTGTCTACCACATGAATGTACGTGAATAAAATGCGTGTAAAGCATGTAAATATAATCAATAAATAAATGTCAGAGGTTTTTGGTTTCATGATGTGATGAGCAAGCAATTGGCTTGCGTAAGAAGATGAGTGAACATGATGAGCGAAACTCTTATCTCAATATTGAGAACTTAACTCTTGATACTAAATTCACAAAATCAGTATAGTTTTTATATACCTAAAACTATAGGCTTTTTGAAAGCTATGTTCGCTTATCTCCTTTAGGCCAAGTAAAATTAATCTTTAGATTCTCATCCTAATTTGCTAAATAATTGGGGCGGGTGGGCGGATTTTATTTTTTATTTTTTATAATTGATAAATTGTAAGTATCAACAAAACATGGAATCTTCGTACACATTTTTTCCCCTAAGTTAATGCCAATATGAATAGACTTTATTTTTTCATATTCTTTTAAATATTTCATGTATTTAAAGAAAATTCTTGCTTAAATCATTAGATATTTATTGTTAATTAACAAATTATCAAGTACACATATATGGCACAAACAAAACAAAATGAGGTGGAGTTCTGATACCAATAAATTTTGTACGCATGACTTCTCATCGGCCTTTCCCCAAATACCTTTTAGTTTTACCTATAAATCCCTCTGTTTTCTGAAAAATGTTCAAAATAGGTCATATTTACAAAATCTATAAAATATATATATCCTACTGAAAAAACCAAGGTAAACAATTTTTTTAATTAGCACTAAACATTCTCTAAAGTCTGCCTACGATGTATTATTTCTTTTTTCAAACCAGAATCACACACAGTTGGAGATCGTTACAACTTGACCAGGTGTCATTTTCCATGTCTATTTTTATACCCAGTTTTAAAAAATCTTTAAAACTTGCTCATGCCAGTGATGGTATCTAGATGTGTTTATGCTATTATTTTTTCTCTGCCTTCCCTATACTGAAATTAATCTTTTCCTTACATATTTAAACTGCTTTTATTGCCGATTTTTCTCCATTCTTCACATGGCTCTTTTGCTATAAATAGCGACACACAACTTTTAATACAGACGGGAGATAAGTCTTAAACTTCACCCAAATTCTTACTGAATAAAAATACATGAAAATGCCTTTATTAACACCCAAATATCAAAATAAAAAATGCCGGGGCGGGAGACTTTGAGAGGGGCGGGCGGGGATGAGAATCTAAAGATTAATTTTATCTGGCCTTATGCAAATCACCACATGCAAGCCACTTGCTTGATCATTATATTGTGTTAATTTGGAATTCTTAATTCGATTTTCGATTATCGGTGCAAAGTAGAATGTTGAAACATTACATGTCAGGAGCGTACATGTATAATTATGGGATCGATTTTAAAAAAAAGGGTGGGTGGGACATCATAAGGGATACGCTAATTTTCTCAGATGCAAGTCATTTACAAAGGTCAAGGTCAAATTAAAAAACAACTTTTCATATGGAACACATCTATGAAATATGATAATCCTAGTGCTAGCTGTTCAAAAGTTATGAACAAGCTTAAAGCAAAATTTTGTAAAAGTTGGTCAAAATTAAAGGTCAAAGTCAAAAGCAGTTATACCCATTGAAAGGACTTGTCACGATGGATACACATGTAAATTTTTGAGAACCCTAGCACTAGCTGTTCAAAAATTATGGCCAAGGCAAAAATGTGGTATTTTTTAAAGTGTGTCAAACTCGAGAGTCAAGGTCAAAAGGTAAAATTTGGTGGTACCCTAAGCAAGGTTAAAGTTTTTGCGGACAAACAAAAAGACAAACGGACGGACAGGGGAAAAAAAAACATATACCCCCCAATCTCTGAATCGATTACGGGAGCATGATAAAAATTGAAAAATTATATCTGGAAAAAAAAAACTTTGAATAGACCTTCCCCATCGGAGAAAGAGAAGAGTTTTCTAAAACCAAAATGTTATTAGATGGGATGTTAAGATCTAAAAACATGGGAGGGGACTTTCATTGAACATTTAATTTCATTAAATTAAATCATCAAATCAAAAATGTACAGTCTCCAAAAATGTTGAAGAGACCCTTCCCCCCCCCCCCCACACACACACACACAAACACCGAGTACACATACACAAATCATATCGTTTACATAATACATGTAATTGCGAGATACGTGTTTGAATGGTTCGTGGTTTTCTGTTTGGTTAGGGTACAGCATTGTTAATTAATAAAAACATTGTGTTGACCTGCATATATGTCACTAACGGAATGAAATTAATACATACAGCTGTCCACGTTTTACTGTATAACCTGCCTTGGGACAGTTTACACGTTATAAAAATGGGCATCGGAAGCAAATTTAAAAAGGGGGGGCTAAACCAACAAAAAAGGTAAACACCAATTTTCAATGCATAGAAATTGTCTATATTTGCAAAAAAAGTGGGGGGATGGTGGCTAAGTCCCCCCCCCCCTCCACCCGGTTCCGAAGCCTATTATAAAAGAGTTCCGAACTGTTCAAACCAGGATATTACATTAAACTTGGGTAGCTATATTTATTTTTAAAAAATGAATTTCCTTCATGAAGTGTTGAACTTAAGTCTTTTTCTCCTTCCAAGATGTATTTATGAAACACTGATCAGCTGATGGCGAGGGTTGAAGTTTCTCGAATGACTCCATGGTCAAGGTTAAAATAAAGGTCAAATTAATGGAATCGCCCAAATGATGGTCTTGTCACAAGAAATATATACCTATGAAATATAAAAACCCTAGTAATAACGGTTCAAAAGTTATACGGTCAAGCTTAAAGTTCTTTTTGATAAGTCAAATTCTAAGGTCAAGGTCAATAGGTCAAATATTTTTTTGTCTTAAATTGCCACGATAAATACACATGTGAAATATGAAAACCCTAGCACAAATGATTATACTTTATGGCCAAGGTGGGTAAAGTGTGGTGATTTTTGTAAAACTGTCAAACTCGGAAGTCAATGTTTGGTACCTGAAGAGAAGTTTTATTACAATTAATAATGAATACACCTGTGAAATATGAAATTATAGCCATATTGCCCCGCCCGCTAAAAATGTTATGTTTTGTGAAAAACAGACAGACAGACACACAGGCAGTCGGATTATTTAGGTACATAAAGATTAATAAGATTATGGGGGGGGGGGGGTAAAATCCTTATCCGTCCACCCAGATGCCTTCGTCCTGACACACTTACTCATTCATATTATAAGCAAATGTTTCATTGTGACTTATTAGACTTATGTAAATAGACTGTGTGTGTTTTAATGTATCACATAGCTACAGATATGAAGTTAATTTTTAATCTTCATAATCCCTCTCTTTTGTGGGCATTAGGATCACCTGTCTTCCTGACTACCACGTGATATTGTGGTAACGGTTTGGCAATATGCCCAATGTAACGGTACGTGAAATCGGTTTTCATTGGCTACTCAATAATGATAATAGTTTCGTAAAAATTAAGATGACGTTTAACCACTCAATTTTTATTGATTCGGAAACAAATAAATACACCTTTATTCGATATAACTCTTACATCCCATGACAACCCTTTTAAGAATGAAAATTTTCAGTACCAATAATCTGCAAATAGATTTATCCAATGAAAATTGCTGTTACATCCACTCTGGCAAAAGACCGCGAAAAGAATTATTACCCCATTGAGAATTGTTTTTGTTTACGGTTTAGTGTACAGGAACTCTTAGGATTAAACAGATTAGAAAGTTGTTTATATAATTGTGTATTGCTCATTATCACTTAATGAACTGGTGTCTTGCGAATGTAATGGGTTGAAGAGATGTGAATTCGAAGAAATGGATGTGTACCCAAGTCCACGACCAACCCCCCAATTTTTTCTAGAACCTCAAACATTCTCGACTAAAAAGGTAAGACTATGGAAATGCCATCTACATGTCATAGTTAATAACACTGTAAACTAACTGAATTTGTTACTGTCAACATCTAGAGAAAAAAAAAAAAATTATGGTAAATATTGTTGATCAGGCAATCGTAAAAAGGGTTACTGGAAAAAAGTTCTATTGCTTCTCATAATTCTATGATGTTAGCTATAGCTACACATGAAATAAATATATATGTGTTATTATGTATAGATGAACTGATAAATGTAGAATTATTTGCTGGGACCATGCTAGTTTATTGAATTCCTTGTGTGATCTAATACACTATATTCTTTGTTCCTCATGTGAGAAGTGAAGTATTTACTGTGACAGTATTTTGAATGCCATCATACATCATAATACATTTTTGTAACCCCTTCTTAAATGTACATTTGTTTCACTAAACTTGTGAATTTATTTGCAGTCACGTTCTACCCCAAGGAATTGTGGTCCACCAAGGCCTCCTGTTAAAAGTGCCCCTCCCATCAGTCGAATATTTCACCACCGCCCCATCGAGAGGGCCCAGGTTGTGTCATTTCGCAGTGATGAAGGCAGTAGATGTATCCTTTTTACTATGTGAACTGTGATTTGCTCAATATTTGCTTTGCAAAATATGTTCAATGATAAAAACATTGCTGGTAGCACAGGTACTCTTTTTTTTGTGAACATTGTTTAACACCAATGTAATGAATTGCCAGGGTGTCACCATGTGCTGTCAGTGAAGTTCAAGATTTATTTGTATCGACCATACATGTTTTAAATGCAATGAGTTAATATTGTTATTGTGTAGAATTAAGTGAAAGAAGTATAGTATACAGCTCAAAAATTGAAATATTTTTTTTATCACTGTACACTGTAAATTTTATAAATGAACTAGGTAAAAAAAATGTTCAACACTATGTAATTTTTTTGTTATGATCTTTTCAACTATTAACCTTCCCTTTCCTTAACTATGTGCTCAGCATTTTTAGAAAATCAGTACAATAAAAGCAGTCACCACCTGTACTTTGAGCAAGGATTCAAAGTTATAAGTAGACTGGGATATGGATCTTTTGGAGAGGTATATATAATGTTGTTTTCTAGTTAATTTTTTTTTCATTCATAGCTCAATATCTTTTGTATTGTTTGTTTTTTGAAGTAGTAAAATGTACAAAAAATCCCTCCAAATTGGAACATTTGTTTTGCAGGTTTTCAAAGTCCAAAGCAAAGAAGATGGCAAGCTTTATGCAATAAAGAAGTCTAGAGATCCTTTTAGAGGAGAGTCAGATAGGTTAGCAAAATTTGGGGGAAAAAATAACAATATTTAATTTTTGGTGTAGAGAAAACTTCCTGACAAACCATGTCAGATGTGATTTTGTTGACATACTGGTTGCTCTTTTGAACAGGAAAAGGAAGTTTGAAGAAGTAGCAAAGCATGAGACGTTACCACCCCATCCAAACTGTGTTCGTTTCTACCGGGCCTGGGAAGAACGGCAGCATCTATATATCCAAACTGAGCTCTGTAAGCTAAGGTAAGAAAGAAATAGGAAGTGCATTATTACTTATTCTTTGAAAGAAACATGAAATGTTATTAATTGAGTTTACAAGATTTTTATAACTACTGTATAATGTTTGATTTTGTATTGTTAGCTTGACAGACTACACAGAACAGAATCATGATTTATCAGAGACAACCATAGCCAACTACTTGGTTGATTTGCTGATGGTGAGTGCAATTTTGAGATCTAATAAGTTATAACTAAGTAAAAATAGTGAAGTGAAGAAGTAAGTGATGTTTTGTATGCAATATTAAGTGATTTCCAACCACTGAATTCATTCAGCAAGTTTTTTTTTTCTACAGGCATTAAAACATTTACATGACCATAATCTGGTTCATATGGACATCAAACCAGACAATATTTTCATATCCTTTGATGATATCTGCAAACTGGGAGACTTTGGTTTAGTATTGGATCTTACAAAGGTATGTATCTGAACAATATTCTCTTTTTGCACTGAATAATGATTTACACATAAATTAATAACATCTTAGAAGTAGAAAAGTCTTAAAATGATGAAAAAAATTGTATTTATTTTTAAGGGTAATGATATATCTGAAGCCCAAGAAGGAGATCCCAAATACCTGTCTCCAGAGTTAATGTGTTCAGGGCAAGTCAGTAGTTACAGTAACCACAGCTCCAGTGGACTCGATCACAGTATTTCTGATGGTAAGTTTAACAATCATACAGACTCAGGGATCACTTTGGGCTGCGCCCTTGCGCCATTGACGCGGTAGTTTTCAGAATGGCGCATTAGATCTCCAGAGTTAATGGAGGGCAAGTTTGGAAAACCTGCTGATATATTCAGGTAAGAAGAATTTAGAAAGGTTGATTTTGGAGTAATTCATTCATGTGTGAGACTAAACTTTTGTCTTTTAAAACTTCCATGCATTAATGTTTTCAGTCTTGGCATGACAATACTGGAGTTAGCAAGTGACCTTGACCTTCCACGGGGTGGAGAAGGGTGGCATATGTTACGCTCTGGACAACTTCCTGAAGAATTCCTAAGAGGTAAGTATAATCAAGCTAATGAATTAACAGTCATGATGGATATGTCATTTCCTAGTTATTTGAAAAAATAAATCCATTTATGACAGGAATATTTACATGGCTTTCTTCTACTTTGCAGACAAGTCTTTTGACCTGAAGTATGTGATACAACAAATGTTAGATCCTGATCCAAAAGTTCGACCCACAGTAGACCAAGTGCTAGCTTTTCCATATGTCAGAAAAGTAAGTGTATTTCTAATCTAAAAATAAAGGCATAATTTACTGTATCAGTCCTTTAATATTAAATTACTGGTTACTTTGTAGGTATGGAAGAGAAGACGGAGAGAGTACATGTACAAAAGAGCAGTAAGTGCATGTTTCTATCTCAGCAGGAAGATTTTTTTTTTGGCAAAAGAAATATGTATATGTCAAGTACTTTGGCGCCGAAGTAATAATTTGCGGCTATTTCTTCATTCAAATCAATGGACTTTGGAACGTGCTTTGTAGGTGAATGCCTTGTCAACCCTGCTCAACCCTGCTCAAAATCTTACAAGCATATCATATCAGTAAATATCACAGATTTCTATCGAAGACTGTGCCATTTATATATAGTGATTCCGGAAACAGATTTCCTTTGTTATTTTTCTTTTCTGGCATACTAGCCTTTTTGTTCCTGATCACCAGTGTGTTCACACCCAGTTACTGGAGAAACTCCAGACTTAGTGTCGGCTCTAGCAGCAAACATAACAGTAGTTACAGTAACCACAGCTCCAGTGGACTGGATCACAGTATTTCTGATGGTAGGTTTAACAATCATACTTGTACATACCGGAAATTATCTTTCAAAATTACATGAAATGCAAACTGTGTAACCTTACCTAATGTAAATGATATGCACAGTGAAAGGGTGGTAGTCTGTGTAGTTATACACTGTAACTGTTGAATTACTTTGACAGATGAATGTTTTGAGGATGACCTGAGTATACACAATAACTCCATGGGGTCACCCTTAGACAGCTCCTCAGGGGACAGCTTCAGTGAATTCATTGTACCCTGGTAAGAATGATACAAAGTACAGCCTTTAGTCACTATTTTCAGTTTTATAGAGGCTTAATTTCCATTGCATGATGGTTTTATAAATGGAACTATTCCTGATTGAAAATTATTTTTTTCTTCCCTCAAAATTTACAAAACATTAAATATACATGTAATATGAAAGTATATCTCTGGCAAACTTCTTTTACATAACATATTACACTTCAAAAAGGTCATTAATATTTAAAAGCTTTGTTGAAATTAGTGAAGATTTCTTTTATAATTTTAGTAAGCCTGCTCCAAGACGAGCATTCACATCACCGGTGTCAAGACAACGACCTTTGAACTATATTAGTCCACCAATGAGTTCCTCTCCTTTGTTTTGCAAATCCAGGTAAAGGAGAAAAGATGTCAATATTAAAATTAACTCGATATGCTTTATTTTGTGGATTGTAAATGGCAAAGAATCGTAAATAGATGTGTCATATTTGGTGTAAACTGTACCTTTATGCATTTCTATGTAGAAAACCAGAGACGCCAAACACCAGCTTTGAGAGCAGTTTTGAGGATGAGCGATCTGTCACCCCAACATTCAACAGTAGCAACAATAACCTGATGGAGGGCGGAGAGGAGAGTAACAAAGTCAGCATAGAACCCAAGAATCTGATGGATGTGAGTCAGATTTTTCTCTTGTGTTGATCATAATAGTTAATTTATGTACATGTATGTGGTAAAATCCAAATTTTAGTGTTCACTTTAGTGTTCAGTTATGAGAATGAATTTATACAAGAAATTGTAAATTAATGGTGATAAGAAGCTTGGAAAATGGTATTTTGCATCATATTAACATTCCATACCAGTAATATTACTACTCTAATAATACAAACATTAAATTTAGTGTCTGTGTATGATCAGTTTACAGTTATGGAAAAAAAACTATGAACATGTGTAATAATCTTAAATTTCTGTACATTTTCTTCCAGATGTTTGATGCTACTAGTGATGAAGATTAGTGCATTGTTTAGATTCGGTGGATGTTGCTCAGCACCAAAGAGTATTAAGTCTGTAGACTTTTGAGTTATAACTGCTGTTATATGTGTTCAACCAGCACCAACTGCCTTAAAGACTTCACCCAAATGTGTTCACTAAAATGTCAGCTTCAGGGGAAGCCACCGCTGTGAATAGTGCTTCATTATTTGTTCTGTGTATCATTAAATGATTTTAATGTATGTATATTTTAGATAGGTAACAGGAAAACCTAATTTTGGAGAATTACATGTTTGTATGTTATACATGCATCCCCCTACACCTCCAGTCATTTACTTGCATGTTTAAATCATGAGCATAATTTATGGACAAGTGTAAAAATAGGAATTTATGAAATTTATTTAGTTATTAAAAAGTGAAAATTTATGCATTTAGGTTTTGAAAAAGTCACCAAAATGTCTTGCCAAAGCCATTATGTCACCTGAATTCACAAAACCCTTCTTCATTAATCACTTGAATGTTACGATATTACTGAATCTTGCTGAAAGCTGCCATAAAATATACACTCAGGCAAAAACCATTTTATAGGTGCTTTATTTCAATATACTTAAAGAATTAATACAATAAATAAGGCCACCGTTTGTGTTTCATTCTACTTAAGTTGTTTTGATGTCAGAGATACTGTAGACAGGTATTTTCATTCTTTTTTTCTTTATTTGGTTTATTTAAATGTGAGAATAAATTTTTGATTGAATGTAAAATTTCTCCAAGAAGTCCCATTGCAAAATCTAATGTCAAGTGGAATCAATTTACATGTAATATTTCTGTGTAATTCCTTCTGTTTATAACAGAAAAGGATTGTAAAGATATATAAAGATTAAATGTCCTTTGTTATCATTTAATTTGTTGCTTCTGTTAATTATTGTTAATTTCTCTTATTGGAAGGACATGTTAATTTGATCCTCAAAAATGAGGATAGACACTTTTTTTTGTTACATGTATTTTATTGGAAAGCATTCATTTGAACATGCTCTGAAATGTGCTTATGCAATTTTTAGTACACAGTGCATCTAGAGTAAAATATTAAACACCAGCTACTTGCAGTTTCGATTTATTTTTTCATGAAGCTTGTTTTCTGCCTAGTTAGATTTTCAAATGAATTGGACACATCTGTTGGGAAATCTGGAACTTTGGAGTAGGAAGCTTATCCTGATGTTGTGGGTTTGAATCCATTGAAAGCCATTAAACCAAGGCCCTGTGTCTCCGTACTCCGTAGTTGTTGGCAAGAAAAAGATCAATCGCTGTTCAGTGGCCATATAGGTATAAATATGCAGCCCTCCATCGCAAGTTGTGGCGTCTCCATATGAGTGAAGAATTCTCGAGAGGGATATTAAACAACAAACCAAAAGCTGAGGATGCTTCATTTTAATATCACCAGTCATGATTTTGCTGTTCCTGAGATTTTTCAATCTGTATATTTTATGTAAAACTTTGTTCATTCATTGTGATCCCACTCTAGCTATTGTGGTCATGTTTTGGACAAACTTGAAACTCCCGTTATGTCAGGAAGCTTTCGCGTTTCATCTTTTCAGGCCGAGTGGTTCTCCAGAAGATTTTTAAATACCCCCACCCAATTTACACTATTTATTAGTCATCTCCCCCTAGGAGACTGAAGAGTTTTTTAGTAAAAAGTAGGTCACCATGACCTTCTTTTGGCATTTCATGTCTATGTCCAAGTAGTTAAGATAATTTAAGGGGGGGTTAAAATCATCAAACATTGTCACCTGATGCATATTGGGTTCTCTGAGTGTTGGTCATGCTGACTTACTGGAATTTAAGCATTTTAAAATATCTTTACAGGACACTCAATCTGATGCAAATCAGATCCTTTGATGCTCTCAAAAATCACTACTCAAGGATTAGCTGTCAAACTGTTTTCAAAAAAAATATATTGTAATCAGCAGAGCTCCAGTGCCAAAATTGTAAAAACATGGCTTTAACAAAATGTTGTGCTTAGTTCTGGATTAATTCTTCCAAATTCTTACTTCAATTGCGGAAAAGATCGATTTTAAAAAAATCCTTACTCCTCTATTAAATACCAACTAAGTACATCTGCACGAATGATGAGCAATTATCTTGCAAACCAAAATGGCAATATAAATAGTTGAAATATGCGATGATCTCAATATCAGGGCTAGGAGGGCTATTACAACATTCCTAAGGAATGTTTAATTGTGGACACAGTAAAAGAACGTTAGTAACACACGATTAGTAATATTTCGAGATGACAGTTTAAAAACATGGAGAAATAAATCGAGAAACGATGCAGTTTTTTGTGCGCAATAAATATAGTTTTTTTTCATTGGGTGGCACTGTAGCTCTCCGATCTGTCAATATATATTTTTTCGCAGAGCTACAGTTCTGCAGCTACACAAAGATCTTAAGAAACCCCATTCAGGGTCATCTCCATGGTGATACAAAATTGTGAATTTTATGACCTGGTTTCAGTATAGCCTGCCAAGAGAATATATATTATAGTACAGAAATGTAATAAGTACTTGCTTTTGCCTTGTTTTTTTAACCTTTGTTTAGTGCAAAACGATAAATTCTTTTCCAGAGCTGGTTTCACATCTAAATTTATTTTCCATGAATGTCGCTTAGGGTCAGGGTCTCTCTGATTGGTTGAGAGATAACCTTGAATATATTCAAAATACATGAATTCTTGTGTAAATCTTCTCTGCAGATCAAAGGAACATTTTAATCATAAACTAAGTACATAGTTATGATGAGCAAGATGCCTCTTTTAAAATTATGCAATGCTAGGCCCTTGGGTCAGGGGTTCTGGTGTTACTTGAAATGTAGCTTCTCTTATATTGATGAAATCTTAAATCTTTGAAATTTTTTTTCTTTTGTCATCTGGGTATAAAGCAGATACCACAAATGGTTAAAATTTATTGCAACAAATTAAAAAGATTCAAATGTGTGACACTTCTTAAGCCCCAGGGTCAGGGGTGGGGTGGGGGCTCTAATATACAGAAAATGAATTTATTGTTTGAAATCAAGATCTTTTGTATAAAATTTATAATATACTTTTTTTTTTTTGATATTAATAATACCTTTTTGAAAGATGCAATGTGTGGAACAGTGTATAATTTGTCACAGTGTTATCGGCACTACTGGTTAGTTGACAATGCATTTTTGTTCCCCTACCCTGCATATGGGTATTAGACACAAAAAGCAACTGCTAAGTGTATTGTTATGATGATCAAAATGGTGCCTCTTTCAAAATTGTGAATGTCATATAGCATCTGGCTTAAAACATGAATCAAATTCAATAAGGCCATCCTTAAAAAATTGTTTGTTTGGAATTGCTGCCTGTAGGTTTTCAAACAGAGGAGGGAGGGAGGGAAATTATTAATTTTTTTTAAATGGAAGAAAAATTTTATTTTTTTTTATAAAAATCTCAGTAAACAGTAAGTACATTTTCTGACTTTCAACAAAAATATCTACAATTAACAAAAAAAACATAATTTTAATGATTTATATATTTCAGTGTTTTGTATGTAAATATTATAATCTATTTAAAAAATTGATTAAATAAAAACAAAATTGACTTTTAAGATCAATAAAATTTTTTCAGGAGAATTTCAATGAGGTGGAAAATTCCATGTAAACTATAATTTTTCTTTTGGCCTAACTTTAAAATTGTTGCATAATCATTTGACTATAAGATGTGGGCAATATTTTTATGTAAAAAAAATTTCACCATTTTCTTTTGGCATTTCATGTCTATGTCCAAGTAGTTAAATAAATAAAAAAAATGTATGAAATATCAAACATTGTCACCTGATGCATATTGGGTTCTCTGAGTGTTGGTCATGCTGACTTACTGGAATTTAAGCATTTTAAAATATCTTTACAGGACACTCAATCTGATGCAAATCAGATCCTTTGATCTGCTCACATAGATCACTACTCAAGGATTAGCTGCAGAACTGTAGCTCTCTGAAAAAAAATATATTGACAAACCGGAGAGCTACAGTGCCAACCATTGTAAAAACTATCTTTAATGGGCACAAAATGTTGTCTTCTTTGACAATTCATTAAAGTCTTACTTCAATTGCGGAAAAGATCGATTTAAAAAAAATCCTTACTCCTCTATGAAGTACTCTCGTTGTCGACATCTGCACGAAGTGCGTCAGAGCGAATTATCTTGCAAACCAAAATGGCAATATAAATAGTTGAAATATGCGATGCTAAGTGCTATTACAACATGGATTTTAAATTGTGGACACAGTAAACAGAACATTAGTAACACACGTATTAGCAAATTTTAGTATATACAGTTTAAAAACATGAGAAATAAATCTGCAGTTTTTTTGTGCGCAATAAATATACAGTTTTTTTCAATGGGTGGCACTGTAGCTCTCCGATCTGTCAAAATATTTTTTTTCGCAGAGCTACAGTTCTGCAGCTACACAAAGATCTTAAGAAACCCCATTCAGGGTCATCTCCATGGTGATACACAAACGTAAACTCGTGACCTGGTTTCAGTATAGCCTGCCAAGAGAATGATCACATCTTTTCTGTACAGAAATGTAATAAGTACTTGCTTTTGCCTTGTTTTTTTAACCTTTGTTTTGCACAAAACAAAATCTTTTCCAGAGCTACTTTCACATCTATATTTATTTTCCAGAATGTTGCTTAAGTAGGATCTCTCTGATTGGTTGAGAGATAACCTTGAATGGGATTTCATCAGATCCTTGTGTAGCAATCTATGTGAGCAGATCAAAGGATCACATTTTAATGAGATTGCAGGAAACTATGAAGCATAAAATACACGAGACAGATCATACAATTTATAAGAGCAATGCTAGGCCCTTGGTATCCTCAAACTTCCATGGGATGGAATACTTGAAATGTAGCTTCTCTTATGAGGAAATCTTTGAATGCTGGTGATTCACTTTTTTTCATTTTGTTACATTCTTCTCGATTGAGATAGCACAAATGGTGTCAAAATTTATCGCAACAAATTAAAAAGATGCAAATGTGATTCACACTTTTATTATCCGTTTCCAAAACACTGAAAATTCAGTTAAAAGCATTCTAGATTTGACATAAGATCAATAAACTAAGAAATGCAAATATGGCTTCTTTAACAAATGTTTTGTTGACAGTAATAATACAAAGCATTCAAGAGATGCAATATGAACAGTGTATAATTTGTCTTTATCGACTCCTGATAAAACAAGATGACAAGCAGATCCTCTCCCTCAATTGTTATTAGACACAAAAACACTGCTTGTGCAAAGATAAAAGAAAAAAATCTGGAATAGTCTTGATCTTCATATCCAAGAAAATTCTTTCTCTTTATCATATACCCTATGACTTGGACATTTGTAACACTGACTGTCTCCCTAACAGCTCTTCTGTATCTTGTAATGCTAACTTTGTCTTCCTAACATCAGTTGCCAGCCTTACAGAGATAGTTGATGGGTAACATTTTGATGATTCCTTGGTCTGTTTTGATCACACCTTCCGTTCCGTCTATACTCAGTAATGATCCTGTCAGCTCTCTCTCTTCTCCCAGGATCACCTTGGCCTGTAAAAACAATTTAATGATTTATTTGATGAAGTTCATTATGGTTGTAAATATTATAATCTATTTAACATCTGTCAGTCACAGAAATTGACTGATAAGCTAGTCAATAAAAGAGAATGCATAAAGGGAACATGACCATGTAATTAGAATTTTTCCGCAATACAGATAATTTTAACAGATGGTTGAGACAAATCATTTCTTAAGATATGACAATATTTTTATGTAGCAAAATTCTCATTTTTTTCTCTTAAAGTGAGAATTGTTCCTGTAATTTAAATACAAAAAAACAAAATGTATGAAATGTTGGCTGTCCCATAAATTGGGGAGGTCTTTGAAAGAAAACTGACCCTATCTCCTTTTTCTGGTGGAACAGGCTCCAGATGTTCACATGCAATGTTGACCACTTTATCTTCCTCTGGTATAAATAATGAACACATCCCTCCCTACAAGGGAACAAATGTACATAGTTACTGATCACTCTGTAGACATGTTATTAAACACAAGCAATGTTTTCTTCTTTGACAAGATGCATTAAAGTCTTTTCTTAAAAAAAATAATGGTGGGTCGATGAATTCTCAATACACATCTCTTAAATCTTTAGTTCGTGATATATTGCCTATAATACGTAAAATGAGTTTGAATAAATTAATTGTTTATGACATCATTGTTAATGAAATGTTCACAATTCTGACTTTTAATTATTTTTTACTCACTTTGACATTGTTTATAAAAACTGGTGTATCAACTTGTGGTATCGTTATCAGCGCAGTTTACAACTTGACCGCTTTCTGTGGTGTGCCAGTTCACTAAATGATTTTATTAAACAGAAAACAAAATTATTCAAACAGTTCAAGTTAAAATTATTGTTTACTTAATTGCATGTACCTTGACTGGCTTTACAGGTATATTATGCGTTTAGATTTTGATAATTTTTAGGTGTTTGAGGGATAGCGCCAACCAATTAGCCGCGCTTCACTGACCACATCCACCTGTGGCGGTAAATTTTAGAAAAGCATAAATGATACAGTTAAATATGGACATTTGTTGTGAAAAACAGGGTGGCGGTATGCAATTTAATATCAAGATGAATTTTATGTAGCAGGAAAAACGTTCTTGGGAAATCATGGCGGTATTGCGAAAATGGCGATGAATCGAATGGCAATAATTCGAGAATTGACTGTATTTCTTTTAACAAGGTTTTTGATTTACCTGAGTAACCTCCAGGTGAAGGTGAAGGGTGTGCATAAGGGGAATAACTGGTCCCCGGGGTCTGGGGTGTGAAGGGTCCCCTTGGACTGGGGGTGTCTGCTGAGTATCCAGGGGTACCTGGATTGGGGGTGGCTCCACCATAATCCCCAGGTGAGGGGTTATCATCAAAGTGGTAGTCAAAGTCATTATTCCTAAAAAATATACAGAACATACATGTATATAATTATAAAATTTAAGATTTCTTGTATATAACACTGTCCCAACATTGTGCATGTGTAAATATTGATTAGTTTGTTATGACTATTATTTCCATATTTTATCTCAGTTATATTCAGGGATCTGAAATCCCACCCTTGCCTCTTACCTTGTAGGTGTATTGGGATTAGTGGGATCCCAGGCACTCTGTCCTGGCGTCCTGCTTCCGGGCTCATGTAGGGGAGTCATACTGCCATAATTAGGAGTCCTACTCCCATCGTGTAGTGGAGTCTGTGAACCGTACATAGGTGTGCGGGATCCATACATGGGAGTCTGGGAGCCGTGCATGGGAGTACGACCACCAGGAGTAGCCGCTGATCCAACAGAACGGCCACCACTGAAATCACGTAACATCATATTAAATCATGAAAGAAAATATCCAGTCTTAAAAAGTGACAGGTTACTACCATATCGATAAGATTTTTTGTTACAAAGATTTAATTGCTACAAAATAATAGGAAGAATTTGGATTTTGAGAAAAAATCAAAATGACACATACACGAGATTACTGAGACGACTTCTGTCCACTGATATAGTCTTACAGCTGGAATGAAGCTCCACACGAGCTGTTGAATCTGTGGCATCTTTGACAATTCCAATGTAACCTACAGGTAAGAGAAGCAGTGTGGTTTTGAACAAGTGTTACACTGAATCTCAAAGGTTCCAATCAAACCTCATACCTTATTGTAAAAATCTTTAAAATATTTATGAGTTCTACATATCAGAGATAAGATTCTATTTGTAATACAAGGATGAAGCTGAAAATTCACTATGGCATTCCCTAGGTTTTTGACATTTGCTCACTCTTGAAAACCTTAATTTAACTGTAGCTTTATAAGAGAAAATACATGAACAGTTCATTAGGCTCAAACCTTTGAACGGCCCTTGTATGATTCTGACTGTAGTTCCAATGAGGTCTCTGTCCCTCTTGCTGAGGCCACTCCCTCCTCTGCCCCTCCCTGGTGTGGCACCCCCTCCACCGGGAGCTCCTCCCACTCCCCCACCCCCAGGATGAGCTGGGCTGGATAACCTTGGAGACATTGGGGCAAATCCTGTCACTCCCAACTGAGCTCTGTTTGTACCCTGCAAAACAAATTTCTACATGCACTCAGTATAAATAAAAAAATTACAACTGCAAATCAATTTTTACAAGAGAATTATAAATACAACCAATTTTTGATCCTCCAGCTAGCACCACTTATCTAGTCCTAGCTACAAAGTGACCACCATTCTCTGTCATATCCTACCTTTGATCCTCCAGCTAGCACCACATGCCTAGTCCTACACACAAAGTGACCACCATTCTCTGTCATATCCTACCTTTGATCCTCCAGCTAGCGCCACATGCCTTGTCCTACACACAAAGTAACCACCATTCTCTGTCATATCCTACCTTTGATCCTCCAGCTAGCACCACATGCCTTGTCCTACACACAAAGTAACCACCATTCTCTGTCATATCCTACCTTTGATCCTCCAGCTAGCACCACATGCCTAGTCCTACACACAAAGTAACCACCATTCTCTGTCATATCCTACCTTTGATCCTCCAGCTAGCACCACATGCCTAGTCCTACACACAAAGTAACCACCATTCTCTGTCATTGTCCTTGACATCAGGAAGCAGTAACTTCTGTACAGATGTTTTATTTCTCCTTGTCTACCCTACACAAACAAAACAGAAATTGGTAGAGCTGGGACCAACAAGACATAATGGAAAGAGAAATATCATCACATCCAAACAAATCACTTTAATTATTTTACATATGTATGTTGTCTTTGATGCATGAAACTTATGATAGATATGAACATTTTGGGGAATGTTCAATGTCACTCTGAAAAGTGAGAATTATCATATACACATCCACTGCATGTCAAAAGCTCAATTTTATCAATTTTTTTTTTCCTTTCAAAAGTTTCAGTTCTCTTGTAAAATGCTTACTGAGTGAGGTCCATCTATGACCTTGATGACATCTTTGACCTGAATGCTGTTGTTTTCTGAATCCAAGGCAACAGCATATTTTGTGTCCCTCTTCCTTGTTACTGCTGCTGGTTTTAAGTTAAGTATCTGAAAGTTAAATCAAGTAGTCATGGTAATAGCAAAAGTAACAACATATATCACACTGAAATGTTTCAAAACCTTAATACCATTGTAAAAATATGAATTTCTTTATTTTAACAATCAAAGTTGCTATAAACAATATTTCAGTTACCTTGTTGTGCATGGATAGAACCTGGAAATTTTCTTTCTCTAATCTTACAATGACACCTACTGTCTGTGGACTGTCAAAGAGAAATGAATGACCATTTAAAAATAAGAGCTGCATTGATTCTTCTGTCAAGAACACATTCTAAAACATTATATAATTTTGACAGAAAAAAAAGATCAAGCACATAGCTACTGGTAAGTGAACATTTTGGCAAGGTGAGACTCACTCTATCTGAACAAGATCTCCAAACTGGTACTGTCCTAGAGAATCCACTCCTGTAGCCATATCTGTACACAACTGAAGGTCTCTGGGCAAAACTTTCATCTGCAATTACATTCACATAATTTGAATTTTTAAAAAAAAAATTCTCTTGTGAAGAGATAACTTGGAACACAATTATACTAAGAGATATCATGTGCCCACTCTTCATCATAAACTGAAAAGTAAAGAAGTAATAGCAAGAAATAATGAATAATTGATACATGACAATGCTAATTAGACTCTGTCTAGGAATAGAAATTAATGTGCGAAATCTTTCATATAAAACTATACCTCATGCATTGTGAGATCTGAGAACAGTACAACAAGATTATCCTCCACACGGACGATCAGCCCCGTGTCCCCTTCATATCGCCCAGACAACACCTTCACGTGGTCCCCCATCTTAAAGTGTTTCTTTAACTCATGTGACATAAACTCCAGAGGATCCCGAAGGTCTTCGTGTTTCGGCAGCATCGTGATCTTGTTTCCGTCCACGCCGATGACCTTACCCTGGAGGTGGACCAACTCCCCCTCACAAACCTCCACCACGTCCCCGGGGACAAAGTTGTGATTTACTTCCCCTTGCTGTTTCTCGGGCACCACTGGGAGTGAAAAATTGATTTAATTTTATTTTTCTAATATTAATTCAGTTAAGCATGCATTACATTCATTTTACTAATGTTAACTCAAATTACCTATGACTTATAGAATTTTACACAGCCCCTTCAGCATCAAATACAGTGAATGTAACAAATAAAATTTGATTATGAAATTATACATCATTTGCTTCTAATGTCAATTAATTAAACATACAATGCCATACAGAATTACACAGTATTGTAAATGTAGCATTAAACATCACATTGTAAAAGGAATCTGTTTTTATATAAGGGAGATAAATTTTACCTACATTCTACTTCCGCCCCCTCTGGTGTATCCTCAAATTTCTCCAGCTCTGCCAGGGTTGGCTTCACTCCCTCTGCAATCTGTACAAAATGAAGTCAAAAATAATCTCACAATACCAGTAAATCTCAAAGACGATTGAATCACTATTCAGTTCCCTTGAATATCACTAAGTTCCACTGAATATATTTCTGTTTAATTTAAATTTTCAATACACTGAAACTTATGTTTAAAAATGTGAAACTTGAAAAAGTTAAGCCCTAGAAATTATATTTTATAAATGAGGAATTATTTTCAGCATCTATGTACTTACGATTGCTGACATGACAAAGCTTTTGAACAGAAAGCCCTTCCTGGTGTAGCGGTTATTCTCAAACAATAAGAAATCTCCATCACTGGTCACCTCTCCACCAATAGCCCTGAAACCAGTGACCAGTCCTTATCATTTATCTTCCTGTGAAACTTATATCTCATATATTTATGAGATAAAAACAAAACACTTAGTAAATTTTTAAACATAAACAATATCAATCATTCTGTACCTTATAGCATCAACATCAAATAACTTCTGTGGAGGTCTTCTTTTCTTCTTTCTTTTTTCTGTTTCCTGGAAGAAATTGGACATACATGTAGCTGTTTCATTAAAACTCTAATATTTCAAAATACCCATACTTAGGGTGACATACAGACAATAAAATATCAAATGCCTAAGGAACAAATTTGATATGAATCGCTGTTGAAGAATATAATGGAAAATGCAGATTTATGAAGAGTTATCTCTCTTTGCACAGCATTCCTCTTTTTTTTTGGTCTTTTTTTTTATCTGACTAGTATTTTTGCCAACAATAGTCCAATTTGAGATTTAACAGTTAAAGTTCTAAATTCTAGATATACCCTTTCCTACATCCTCTCTAATATTAATGTCATATGATAAATCATTACTCACATCAGCCTGTACTCTCAGCACACCTCGTTTCTTTGAGTAATCAATGCGAGGTATCATCTTTAAATGGACTATGTTCTGTGCTGGTTCAAAGTAGTCAACCTGTAAAACATATTACAAAACTGAGTTTACACTTAGCATGGTTATGACAAATACAGTATCATGACCAAGACATAAATTATTTTTCAGTCATCAATTAAACAGAATGAATTATCAGCAGCAGATACATATACAACGAGGCGTTCTGAAAAAAATATTTTTCTCATAGAATTTGCTTTAAAATGAATTCACAATATACATTTTGAGTTTGTTGAACTATAAAATTATCTAATACCAGAGTCAAAAATGTGAAATCTTACATTTTTGTAAAAGATGAGTTTTTTTTTTCCCAGAAAGACGCAATTCTAAAGGTACTACGTTATCTTCCACCTACCTGAGCCAGATCATCTTTGAAGATCCCCCTCTTCAACCGAACCCACTGTCTGGGCTTTAATTGTGCTGTCTCCTTCACAACTTTCAACACATCTGTCATTTCTTTGATAGGTACCATCTTTATGAAATAAATCAAAGCATTGTAGTTTTGTAGATTTTAAACATATTTCAGGCATTTTGCTGCTGCTATTGAACTTAATTTGAATCTTGTCAGAAGTTCTTTTGAACATGGATGTACTGCTGCTCAAAACCTAGAACTAGATTTTGATGAAATGATAAACAGATTTAAAAATGAAGTCAAACTTCATTATCTCAAACCTGATTGGACTGAGAAAAAACTTTGAGAAATCCGAGGATTCGAGATATGATAATCCAAGGTTACCGTATATACTCGCCTATAAGTCGGTATTTTGGGAGTTAAATATTGGTCTAAAACTCTATGTCCGACTTATAGGCGAGTCATAGAGAGATTGGTATTTTTCTGGAGGCTGAAAGGTAGTATCTTGTTTGCATTTCCAACGATTATCGAAGAAAATATATGGATATATAAGATAATTGATGTATTCTTAATTATATATATAAAGTACAAGTATTTACATATTTTAATAATTTTATTTGTATTTTAAGTGAGCATTGCCTTTTTGTTTAATAATTTAAGATTAAATATCAGTGTCATTTCGAAAAATATTAATTGAAACCAGGTTAAAATATTAATGGATTAACTTGAAATTGTCACCAGGTTTTGGCAAAAAATTGTACCGACTTATAAGCGGGTCAATAGCAAACCCCACTAAAATAACGTCAAAAAATACAACCGACTTATAGGCGGACCGACTTATAGGCGAGTATATACGGTAAATACTTAAAGAATATGTGGTTGGGACTTCCAAATCACTTTGACATATCCATGGTATTCAAGATATCGGAGTTCGAGATACCGAAGTTCAACTGTAAATAATTGTATGTACCTGTTGTGACCATTGTCCCATTCTGAGATTCCCTATACCATCAATGGCCTGTTTTACGTGGGTCTGTTTGTAAGCCTCAATATAAATGTATCCCTTCAAACTTTCCTTGGATATTACTGATTTAATTTGTAGTGGCTACAAAAAAACAGAAAGAAAAACCTTAAATATTAACAAATTTTATGCTCACAATACTGAAGATACAGAATTTTTTTTACATGTAAAATTACTTTACCATGTTGTGTTGTACCATCATAGAAATATTTTTAATGTAAAAGTAAATCAAATAAAAAATTTAATTCTTTCATACCTCATCAGTGAATTGATAAGCAATAAACTTCCTCATCAGCTGTAAGGCTGTGGCTCTCTCTTCTCCAATTCTACACTTCACCAGCCACAAGTTGGGATCCCTAAAAAATTAGAGGAAAAAATCTTTATCTTCTTATTCTACTGAATGCTTTTATTCTGCTATCTTTACTGAACTGATATTGCTTGCCTGGCATAGCTGTAAAATCAACATCCAAATCCATGTACACTTACTTGACACCTGGAAGAAGTCCCTGTTGTGTAATTTCATCCGACATTTCCTCTCCCTCACCAAAGCGAGCTGCAACTGATGTCTGTCCATACTTGTTTCTATAGTACTCCTCCAACTCATCTTCTCTCTGGGAACTGAAAAGCCAATAGAAGAAAAATTGAATTTTTTCCCTTAATTTTCAACTACAGTACATGTGAAATACATGCCTTCTCTTTTTTTTCCCCAGAAATATTAATTGGAATATTCATGAATGACAGGAGGTGTTGTTTTAAATACAAATCACAATCATTTTACCTTTAACTACCAACAGGGTTCGACATTAACGTTAGTCCGTTAGTCTCAGACTAATACATTTTCATTCAGACTAATGAAAATTGTAGCTAATTAGTCCGAATGGACTGATAAAGTTTTCTTGGGGAGAAAAAAGAATTTACCAAATTTCAAATTTTCGACAACTTTCACTGGAAAACCCCATATTTATTTTTAGCTTTCTAGCTTCTTGGCGGGAAGTTAGGTAATTCTGAGTCAATTCGGCGCTTAATTTTAGGACTCATTGTTATGAAATTAAACATTTTAATGATCATGATTTAGTATGACACATAAATAAAGAAAGATGTCGGATATTTAGATGATGTAATCATGTATAGAGAAAAATGAATGAGATCGGGAATACAATCGTAGTTCCTGATTGTGTGATTTCAACGACTTCTTGGTATAAACAATTTATGTAAATGCTTTGTTTATTTCAAAAAAAGTATAAAAAGCACATTGCAACATTAATTCTATTTAATTATTTTTATTTTTGATGGACTAATAAAATTGCCCACGACTAGTAAAAGCAAAGAAGCACTAGTCCGGCCGGACCAAAACCTAAAAATGTTAGTGTCGGATCCTGACCAAAATAATCAAACTTTCATTTTTAAGGAAAGTTTGCTTTGATACCTGAATAAATGTCCCAGTCTTCTGTTGTTTTCGATTTCCTTGGCGGTGGGGCCTTCATAAGAGGAGACTTTGTCTATCAAGTCCTCTGCTCCTTCTTCCCACTCTTCTTCATCCTCATCGCCCTCCTCATCCACATCTGAAATCATCAGAATCATCTGTATCATCATCTAACACTACTAACTTAATTGTTATCATCATCAACCACTGTCAACTTAATATGGATGTTTTGAAATTAAAATCTGTAAGTTGTTAATCGTTGAACAAAGGAAACATACCAGCTTCATCTAAGATGTATCCAGCGTGTCTCGGCTTCTTTTTCTTTCTTCCACTTTCTTCATAGTCTTCATCTTCTTCTTCATCATAATCCTACATCAAATCAATAGCAAACTGTATAATGGGAACATTTCTATTTGACGACAGTGAATATTCCAAGAAACTTTTTTTTACACACCATTAACTCACACAAAATTAAGAAGATTTCTTGGTTTACATCTAACAATGTTTAAAATCAGCTAATACATAAATACACTCAAAGCTGAAATATTGCTGCCTTTTCTTGTTACATTATCATTATTTTAGCATTTTAATGCCTGATTTCTAGCTGTAAATTTGAGCCTGGCACCAGCCAGTTCTTTGCAAATCTTTTCTTGAAAATTTAATTACATCTTCATCCTCATCATCTATGATGTCGTCCACACTACGACGACCTCTTCTTCTGTTGACAGGGGAAGCAACTTCACTTCCGTCATCACTTCCTACATCGCTACCAATGTCACTTCCTGCGTTACTTTTGCCATCTTCATTCTGTAATACACATCAAAATCAATAAGACCTAAAGGTTAGGAATGTATTATTCCACTACATTAATATATCTTTTGAAATCAATTTTGAAGCTTCCTTTAATCATTTCATTGACTTTCACAATGCAAATTGTAGACACATATAAAAATATCTGATGGCGCTTTAACTTCGAAGAAACTTTATTACTTACATGTACATCATTCACTTTCACTTTATTACTTACATCACTTCCACCTTCATTTCTACCACTTCCAGCATCAGAGTAAACACTTCCTTCATCCTCACTGTCAGACATTTCTGATCACTGAAAAATTAAAAGCAAATTTAATTATTTTAATATATATATTAAACTATAAAAAGATTATCTTATTTCCCACCTGACTAGTTTGTACAGGTGATCAAGAACTAAGATAGAATTTTGAACCTAAGGAAATAAGTTGGCAGTTGCCATTTGTAAAAGGGCATTTAATAGGAGTGGAATTTAATTCATATTGTACAATTATTTAATGCCTGAGCAGTCAATAGACCAGAATATTTTTTTCTTGGTGCAGGGAACAGCTCAGTGTGTCCTATTGCCCGAGGCCAATGGCTTTTTTTTCCAAATACTGTACAGCAGGTTAAAATGGCGGTCGGAAAAGATCGCGATTTCTTCAATTTTCAGCAAATCACGGTCGTTTGAATTCGTGAAAAAAAAAATAATAAATTTCTTAAATAGTACTTGCAAGTACTTTTCTTTAAGTATATATTGTGTAAACTAATATTTCCTGTCTCTATCTTACGAAAGTCTGTACCTGTTTATCGCGCATATCAGACAGAAAAGTCAAGCCTGTATATTGTGTCGATTTTGATCCCGATTGAATAATAACCAATAACGAAACACCGGACTGATCCCCATTTGTTCAAAGTCAAAGTAATGTTACGCTTTCAGATTTTTTTATTTCTGGGTCCAAATCAGAAAAAACTTAAACCGTAGTCAAAATATTGAACTTTTAATCATATAATTGAAATTAATTGTCGTTACCCTGTTTACTAGGTAAGTGCCTTGATTAAAGGTAATGATTGAGTGATACGCACGGGCCGGATGAAATTAAACAAGTATGTTTTATTTAATAATTACATAGCACGTTTTCTAGATGGAAAAAATTAATCGTTAGCTTTAGAAATTAATTGAACAATTAATAAGCTTTAAAAACACCAACAACTACGCAAATATAATTCAATTTGATCCATACACTCGCATAATTATAAAGACAGTCTACATGTATCAATCACAGATAATAATAAAATTTCAATTTATCCTAAGGCTTATAAATCTTTTAAAGAATTATTCACTGTATGTTGAATTCGCGGAATTTCTTTTTCCGCGAATATAGCGAATATTAACTCCGCGAGTTAATTTCCTGCTGTACAGTATATTGCCAGTCAACAGATGGCAGTCTATTGACTAGCAGTCAATAGATAGGTTTCAAATAAAAAGTTAAACTGAAAACACATACGGAATAGATGAAAATATTAAATCTCTAATAAAACAACAAAGTCCATTTGATTAGTAGCGTTACAGACATGATTAGTACACTACAGTGGCCAATACTAGCTGAGCGACGCCTCAAATCAGATTAATAATGTTTTATAAAGTAGTCCATCAACTTGTCGCTATACCAACGCAAATACTCATACCTACAGACACAAGAACTAGACAAAATCACACACAAACATACAGACACCTACAAGCATCAAAAGAAACATACAAATGGTCCTTTTTCCTCTAACTATAATACAATGGAATTTACTCCCCCAGTCTGCTGTCCAAGCCACTAACGTTGATATTTTTAGAGAACAGCTAACCTCAGCTGTTCTCAACATTATCATGTAAAAAGTAAACAGTCAGATTTTTCTTTTAATCACTAATGTAAATAAAAGCACATTTTTTTTCATTATATTGTTTCTATTTATATAAGCTTAGGTCATGCATGTGCACCAACAAGTAATCTTCAGTACTCTTAAGTTTTGTTGTTAAATAGAAGAAGAAGGTAATAAACCAAAATACTATATACACGATCATCACAATCTGGAAGCTTTACAGAGAAGCTATAAACTGTAATGTATACACTACACAGCCAAAATAATAGGTTAAAAAGGTAAATATAAATCTTTGATGCTATACTGAAATATGTTTTACATAAATGAACATAATTGAAACCTAGAAACATTAGTTTTGCCAAACACGTAAACAGGTTGGGCACAGCCTACCAAATGGTACTTTATCCCCCGTTTGGTAGATAATCTACCATATCAACAATTTTACTAACCAAATGTGGGGACTTTTTTATTCTATTGCAATTTTTATTAAAATAAAACAAAAGCGCATTTATTTAGGCATTGGGGGATTTTAGTGAACATATTCCTCACACAATATAATATTAAATAAATAATATTCAATAAAAGATGTACAAAATGACTTTTGTCATTATTCTTGTTTTTGTTCCAAGTACATCGTTTTAAAACAATAATTATGTCATACTCCAACTGCATTTACTATTTCTATGAAGAACAAAGCCATTGTGTTCAAAATAAAAAGAAATAAAGGCAAAACTTTTTTTTCTTCCCATTTCCTAGTTGAAAATTAACACAAATGTGCCTCCGTAGTTAAATCCGACTTTTCATTAGGTTTAAAAAAAGATCATCGTTTTGATTGGTTTGCACTAATTGATTGGTTGCCCGGATAATCGAAATAGAAAGTAAAGGACATGATTGACAGGTGCAGCATCGTTCGAGAAGGAGGGAATTTTCTTTTAAAGTAAAAAACGGAGAAACATTGCACTTGTTTACATAAGCTACGTTTTTTGTCAAATTTTTGAACACTTGCGCAAAAAATTGCACATATTTTTGATTTTTTTCATCCAGAACACCGATAAATATCTATATTTTATTCCACATGGTTTAAAATTATGCGAAATTCCACTCCTCTCTTTGGAATTAAACACAACCAATTTTGTCCCCCATTTGGTTAGTAAAATTCGTTACCGATATGGTAGATTATCTACCAAACGGGGGATAAAGTACCATTTGGTAGGCTGTGCCCAACCTGGTAAAGAGAAAGTTATCAACTGTGTAATAAACAACATGGAATTTCAAAGATATCTGTGGTTTCTTTGTGTGTCTTTTTGCAACTTTTATGAAATGAATTTCTATAGATTGCTAAATAAACTGATAAACACAGAACTGTGTCGAAATCTACCTAATCTTACCTAAAACTGCTGAACAGACCACCGTACAAATTTTGCACAACTGACCACAGGTGGCGCTCTATCTGTAGCGTTTGATATTAGACGGTCGTACAATAAACATTTCTTTCCAATCTGAGTCACTTTCCCCCGTAGGGCCTACTGTAAATTCACATTTAAATAAGCAACTCATAAAAATATATTTTTCAAATAGTTTATTCTTTTAAAAAAAAGGAGAGAGAAAGGTATAGTATCTTCATCTTGTCACAGTGAAATCAAATATCAACTTTGAAAATCTTTACAGATTGGATTGTTAATTAATAAAACTCAGTGATTATACATGGGCATAAAAATTTATTATATAGAAATAAGTGCAGACTTTTTTTAATAAAAAGGGGATTAAATTCGAAGGGGAGGTGGGTTCCTCCGTCGGCGTACATCTTTTAAAGCCTTATAGTCCGAAATTCACATAGGCCATTAGTTTGGAAGTCCCTGAGGTATATTCATCCTTGATTATTTCTATTTCACTCTCAGTCACATCACAAAGAATGAATGCTATATTTTTATACGTCGTTCTTAATGTTAATGCCGTTCATCTGAATGCCCCCCCCAATCCCCCTCCCCCTAAACATTTCAAGTTGCTGTAAGCAGAGCTGGTTAGAGTCCCACAAGGCCTAAAGGCAAATTCAAACAATTGAGAAAAAATGTACAAATCAATTAGCTTTCATTTTCTAAGAACTTTTCTTCTCTCCAGTATAGTATTTTTTTTAACATTGGAGAAGTTTTATTAGTAAACTATTTATTTTTCTATAAGAAATATTTAGGTAAATTATCCTTTTTTTGGGAGGGGGGTCCATTTAAAAACGTTGCATGGGACTTGCATGGGCCCTGTTATACAACAGATCAAAACCATCGTCAAATACCCGCGGACCAAAACGCAACTTTTAGATTTTTTGATTTACATTAATTTAATAATTGAAAATGGTTTAATCTTTAAAAAGGAGATTTAGAAAGATCTATTTGCAAGCAATTTTATCAACGTAACTGATTTTGCAATATTTTGAAATTAACTTGATTTTTAATTTTTGTTGAAAGTTCTTCTAAGTTCTAAAATTTCTAGACTTGCTGTTATCTTGTAATTAAAATTCAGTATTATAATTTCAAATGCAAAATGATTAAAAAACCAAAATTAATGTTATGAAAATTCTTGGTTAAAAACCTATATCATTCATTTCTAGCTTCAAAAAAGGAACGAATTAAAAAAAAAATTAGAGGTGCATGTGCCCTTCTGTCATTATTTATTTTATCATTCGTTATTATGTATCATTTTAGACTTTCAGAATACTGTTAAGCTATAATATGATTTAGATATCTCCGTTATACATATTTAATTTCAAGCATGCCAAATATATGCACAAGCGGTTTGGTTGATATAAACAATGCTAAATATGTTAATAATGATTTTTACCAAAAATATCTTATACCAGACCCTACGTGATAATCACTGAATATCGTAGGTAGATATTGATCAATGTTATTCGCCTTCATCATTTGACCGTAAACATCTGTTACTGAGAAAACCCGCTTGAGCCTCAATATGCAAATACTTAGGGTCAACAGTGGTCATAAAATAGTGCGGATTTCTGTTATACATATCATGCTTTTCTTAGTAAATTTTAAACAGGCTAATCGGAAGTATTGTTGTTTGTGGTTTCTTGCACTGACCTTTTGTATAAAAAGATGGCAACATTTTTTAAAATCAAATAAAAGTATCAACTAACATGACCTTGTTCTTGAAAGGGATGAGGTGTCAAAAATAGAAATCGAAGTCACGTGATTGATATAGTTTATTACGTCGCCATCTTGTTAGCGAAGGGGAAAATGTGTAGTGCTTGTTGAGACTGGAAATACGCATTCAATCTGGACGCAGTTGGACAAAATTCCAAAGCAAAATACGATCAGTTAATTGTACATCCTGAAAAAGACTTCAGTGAAACACTACCTATCGGTATCTTTCCCTTATTTCATCATAAAATTAACTCCTCTCTATCTGTGACTCCCAAAGTCCTTGTACAAAAGGTGCAAGGTTGATATATTCCATGAAACCACATTGAGAAACACGGATAGGCGAAGGATTGATGAAGAGCAAC